GGCAGAGAGAGACATAGAGACAGAAAGTGAGAAATCACCCCCCCAGGGGTATGGCCACACCGCAATCCCTTCTCCTCCATTCTCCTCTCAGGACCTTGGGCACACACGCACACGCGCCCGGGGTGAGTTTTAAGCCACCGGGTCCGGGACGTGAACCGCGGTCGACTATGTGGGAGTCCATCGACATAGCCATTATGCTAATTGCTGGTTCCCTCCATTGCCTTTTCTGATACCGCACTTAGGGTGACTCTATTGCAGCTGCCTGTTTCCTCATCTTTGTGGTAGATTGTAAACACTGGAGCAGGCAATGTGACCAGCTGTTCCTGGAGGAAGCCCCTGTCTAATACAGAACCCACCTATGATAGATGATGCTAAATACTAAAACAGGAATGAATGAATTAATGGATACCAAAGAAAAAAATCTTTTGAGAGATTTTTGCTATAGGGCACATGCACTCACCAGAAAGACAGAGAGAGAGAGAGAGAGACAGAAAGCAAGAAATCATACCCCAGGGGGGATGGCCACACCACAATCCCTTTTCCTGCATTCTCCTCTCAAGATCTTAGGCATGCACACACACACATACCTGGTGTGAGTTTTAAGCCACTGGATCCAGGACTCGAACCACGGTTGACTACATAGAAGCCCAATGACATAATCATTATGCCATTTGCTGGTCCCACCAAAAAAGTTTTATATTTCATAAATTTTCAGAGCAATTTGAGTAAACACTGATGTAAGGGGGATGATGACCTGTAATCTCCTCACTTATCTCTACTTATTAAAGTTGGCTTGGGCATTTCCCAGCTTTTATCCTGGACATGAAGGAAGCAGTAGGCCAAGCACCTGAGCTGCTGGAGGGAGCCCCTTGGGGCTGGTTGTGCAGCAGTTCTGTTTCCCATTGGAAGTGTTGCCTACTGCGATGATTTTAGATGGTTTTAGGCACACTTTCTTTTAATGATGATGTATTTATAAATTACTTCAATTCACAAAGAAGGCCAAGAGGATGAAAACCTATCCTTTCAGCATCATACCTAGAAGAAAGCCCACCCAAGAAATTTCTCATTCTACAGGGCAGGGATCAGCAAACCATGGCCAGAGTCAAGTGGCCTCAAGCTAAGAATGGGTTTTCCATTTTTCCATTTTTATTTATTTATTTTTTAAGAGATTTTCCCCTAGAGGACACATGTACTTCCTGAAAAGACATAGTGAGAAAAACAGCAAGAAATCACCTCCTGGGGGGGTGACCACACTGCAATCCCTTCTCCTGCATTCTCTTCTCAGAATCTTGGGCACATGTGACAGCATGAGTTTCAAGCTGCTGAGTCTGGGACTTGAAATGTGGTTGGCCACATGGGAGTCCAGTGCCTTAACTGCTGTGCCACCTGCTGGCCCCAGAGGTTTTTCATTATTTATTTATTTATTTTTTTTGAGAGGTTTTTGCTATAGGGTGCATGCACTTTCCAGAAAGACAGAGACAGAAAGTATTAATCACCCCCCCCCGGGGGGATGGTCATGCTGCAGTCCCTTCTCCTCCATTCTTCTTTCGGGATCTTGGACACACACACACATGCGTTTGGTGTGAGTTTAAGCCACCGGGTCCAGGACTAGATGAATATATGTGAAGGGGGTTCTTTTCTGCAAGGCCCAGGTTAGGCCAGGCATTCCTCCTCTCATACCCCTTTTTTTTTTTTTTTAAGTTTATTTATTCTGTGAATGAAAGACACATACACACACGCGCGCAGCACCCCCAATAGCATGCTGACACTGTGATCTACCCCCAACCTTCAACCAGCCCCAGATCATGGACAGGTGTGTGCCTAGCATACTAAGGGAGGTCTCTGGACTTGAACTGGTAACCTTCACATGTGGAATTGCCACGCAGAACATCACTCTTTACAGCTGCACCACCTTCCCCCTTCCCTACTTCTGTCACGTATGGAAGTCTCTATTATGTCCCTATGTTTAATGCCTCTCTCCTTAAGTAGATTGCAAGTGGCATGAGGACAGGGACAGTCGTTCCAGCTGGCCACATGGGACCAGTCTACTCTGTGCTGGTGGGAGGCCACTAGAGCAGGATGGGAGCAAGGGTTGGCTCTGGGGGCAGGTCCGCAGCTTTTCCCTTTGTCCCTAGGTCCATGCATCAGTTGGCATTGCTGTTGTTCATCAGTAGAATGAAGATGCAGTCGTTTCATGGGCAGCGCACCCACTGCATCCCAAAGCAACATCAGCTGAAGGCACCATGATTTCTGACTGCAGAAGTCTTGGTCTCCTCGTTGACGTACTTATTTCCAGGTACAGTTGCAGAAGAATTAATTTATTATTTATATTTTATGAGTCTAAAATTAATAACGGTGTTTTGTTTTTATCATTCACCTGTCTATGGTAGTAAAATGCTATTTTTAAATTTATTTTTTTATCTTGGGTCCTCAGAAAAGTTATGACTCATTTTTGCATAGAAAGACAGAGAAAAATATGTCATGACTTTTCTGAGGACCCAATATATGGCAATGAGGTATCTAAAAGTAGGGCTAGCCCTGCAGACGGCTAGTCAGCCACTGTCTGAAAATACTAATTGGAAAATTCCAGAAATGAACAATTTGCAAGTTTTAAATTGAGAGCTGTTCTGAGTACATGATGAAATCTCACACTGTCTGTCTTATTCCTTCCTGGGATATGAATCATCCATGTATACTCCACCCACCTGTTTGTCATTTAACAGGCATCTTGGTTATCAGATTTAAAAAACCCATGGTATACAAGGGTTTATTGCCACCTGCTGTGCAGGCATCCACTAGGGGTTGAGGGAGACAGATCCACATGGCCAATCATGGTTTAAATCCTGGTCCAGGCAGCTTGAGAAAAGCACCAGGTGAGTGTGTGTGCATGCCCCAAATCCCAATAGGATGGAGAAATGTAGAAGGGATGTGTCTACACCTCACTGGGAATACTTTCTTCCTCTCCTTCTCTCTTGCTCTCTTGCTCTGGTGCATGTGTATCCTTTGGCAATTAAAAAAAAAAAAGTAAATAACTATACAAGTATATGCACAGATGACAAAGTTGTGAAGTGCTATTCAAATAACTAAAATTAGTCTTTAGTAGAATAGGGATTATTTATCAAGACATAGCTTAGCCTAGGAGAAATAAGGCCGGGGGTCAATTAATGAGCTTCACCACCCCCCAAAAGTTTGTGCAAAAATTTAAACAGAAAGCATAAAAGGTGTATGTTTCTCACTGGAGGGCTAAACTTTTTCTTAAATTCTCAAAAGAATCTGTGACCCAAAAATGACCACAAACTTCACAAACTATTACTACAATTTGCTTATTTCTGCTCCAGTTTTTTCCCTCACCAAGGAAATCTTCTGATTACCAATTACTGTGAATACTAACTACAGTAGTATCCCCCACCATCCCCAGTTTCTTTTCCAAGGTTTCAGTTACTATAGCTGGGACTAGCAGATGGTGGGATGGTTATGTCACTGGACTCTCACATGGCCAACTGCAGTTTGAGTCCCAGACCCGGAGGCTTGAAAATCAGTTACTGTAGTCAGCTGCTATATTAATTGGAAAATTCCAGGATTTGAATCATGGTCTACTATGTTGGGTCCAGTGACATAACCATTACGCTATCCGCAGGTCCCTCAGTTATCAGGTTTTAAAAACCATAATATACTATGGTTTACGATTACCTGCGGCTTAGGCATCCACTGGGGATGTTAGAATGGATCCCCGGTGGGTAAGGAGTAATGTCTGTGCACTTTTTTCCTTTTATGTGGGTGGTGAGGCAGAGAGATATTTTTAACTGGGTTTCACTGTGTGGCCATCTTTTTGCCCCAGCCTCACAATTAGCTAGGATCACAGGCACACACAACCACACCCCACATGTTTAAGTTGGCCCAGACACTAAACCCAGGCCTCTTATCTCCCAAGCTGTGGCACTCTGCGTGTATCACTCTGCTGGGCCTAACTCGCCAGGTGTTGTGGACTAAGGAATGGCAGCGTTGTAGTTGGGAGAGGTCTGGTTAATGAAAACACAGATCTCACATGGCCAACTGCAGTTTGAGTCCCAGACCCGGAGGCTTGAAAATCAGTTACTGTAGTCAGCTGCTATATTAATTGGAAAATTCCAGGATTTGAATCATGGTCTACTATGTTGGGTCCAGTGACATAACCATTACGCTATCCGCAGGTCCCTCAGTTATCAGGTTTTAAAAACCATAATATACTATGGTTTACGATTACCTGCGGCTTAGGCATCCACTGGGGATGTTAGAATGGATCCCCGGTGGGTAAGGAGTAATGTCTGTGCACTTTTTTCCTTTTATGTGGGTGGTGAGGCAGAGAGATATTTTTAACTGGGTTTCACTGTGTGGCCATCTTTTTGCCCCAGCCTCACAATTAGCTAGGATCACAGGCACACACAACCACACCCCACATGTTTAAGTTGGCCCAGACACTAAACCCAGGCCTCTTATCTCCCAAGCTGTGGCACTCTGCGTGTATCACTCTGCTGGGCCTAACTCGCCAGGTGTTGTGGACTAAGGAATGGCAGCGTTGTAGTTGGGAGAGGTCTGGTTAATGAAAACACAGATTTCACTTAAACTAGATAAACTGACATGAGTTTCAAATCAGTCTCTTAGGAAATTGCTCCAGCACGACTCTGTCTCATTCGATCGGACCAAGTTTTTGATTGGCTGTCCAGTGGTTTACCTCTCTGCTCTCTGAGGGCAGGGCTATGAGTCCTGCTTAAGTTCTGTCCCTACCCACCAGCTCAGGGCCAGGCACAGGTAGACAAGAGAGATCTTTGAACTAAACGCACAGCAGTGGAGGGGCAGTAGTCACACACACTGTGACATATCCATAGTGCAGACCTCATTCCTGCCTGGCAGCATCTCCCTGGGTTACTGAGATGGAAAAGTTACCTAAGGAGTTCAGACCAGCACTGTTTTTAATGAGTTTTAACCCAGAATACAAAGCAAGGTGCTTATGGATACCTTGGTACTGATATAGTAAACAGCGGTTTATTTTTCTCCCATAAAAACAAGCTACAGAAGTGTGTCACAGAGATAGGCGAAGACATTTGCATCTATTTTTCAAAAACTACCCTGAAAACTAGTAGCACTGTTGCCATTTCCAAGCCATTGCCCATACACTGTGCCCCACCACCCCACCCTGTTTATCAATGCAAATTCTGGAGCTTTCTTAACTCAAGAGATCTTAGGGGGAGAATTCCCCACTTGTCAGCATGCAAGGGTCATTCTCCTTGGTTTTCTTGTTGATCCTGTTGAACTTTTGGTCACTGGATGAAGGAAGCCTCCAGGTCCTCTACGAGTTCTTCTGAGGAACTTTGACTGTGACCTGTGAGGGGAACAGAGATGCTGTTAAATTCCAGGTCCACTCTCAGCGGGGTGTATTTCTCACTTCTAACATCTCATTGGCCAGCTGGTCGATCCCAGGAACCACCAGGGTGTGTCCACCTGCCTCTGTGTAACCCAGTGGCTGTTAGCCAGAGGCATTCCCACCACCTAGGGTTATTCAGCAATATCTGCAGCCATTTTTCCGTGTCACAGGGAGATGGCACCACTGGTATGTCATGGGTCAATGTCCAGAATGCTGCTGGACATCCCACAGTGCATGGTGAAGGCCCACGACCGGGAACGTAGGCCCAGACAAATGTGCCAAGGTTGAGAAAGCCTGACTGAGACCCATTGTTTTCTTCCACAAGAATGAAAGCAGGAGGGCCAGCTGTGCAGCTTAGTGGTAGGTGCTGGGCATCAGGAGCCAGATTCCACTTGGCTGACCATGGTTTGAATCCTGGTTCTGGAGTATGAAAAACACACTGAGCACATGTGTGTGCATGCCCAAAACCTTGACAGGATGGAGAAATAAAGGAGAAGGGATTGTGGCGTGACTATGTCACATGAGGGTGTGCTTTCTTCTTTCTGTCCAGCAAGTGCACGTGTGTCTGGCAAATTTAAAAATAATAATAATGTGCATAAGCTCACAGGTTATCTCAGTGTATTAAGTGGGAAGATTCCAGTTTCAGATGGCACTGGGTTGATTTCTTGCTCTGCCCACTAACTGGGTAGGTATTTCACCTCTATGTACCTCACTTTCTCATCTGTACACTGCGGATAAGAACAGTATCTCCTTCAAGGGGTTGTTGCGAAGACTGAATGAGCAAATCTAGCATATATTCTGACACAAAGGAAGCACTCAATAAAAATGAATTAAAGGGGCAAGCAGGTGGTGTGGTGGTTGAGGCTCTGGACTCCTACATGACCAACTGCAGTTCAAGTCCTGCACCCAGTAGCTTGCTTTCTCTCTTTCTTTCTCTGGTGTACGTATATGCCCTATAGAAAATTTAAAAGTAATGATAATAATAAATAAAATTAAATAATCCTATTTTTAAAAAAGAATTAAAAAGAAGGAATCTAAGCTTGCAGTGTGGTCATTAAGGCAGCTAGATCTACTACATGACTGACTACATGGTTTGAGTCCCAAACCAGGCAGCTTAAGAAATAAACTAGGCACATATACATGCATGCCCCAAATCCCTAAATGAGGGAGAAGTGAAAAAGAAGGGATTGTGGTGTAAGCATCCACCATGGGGGATGCTTTCTCACTCCACCTTATCCCCACACCATGAGTACATGTGCCTCTGCCAAATTAAAATTTTCATCAGCCCCTGCTTGCAAGTTTGACTTGTCTTCTGAAAAATTGCTGTTTTTGTTAGTATTATTCTTGAGCTCAGAATACAAGAATCTTTATCATGACCACTAAGCATAGTGTCTAGCAGTGTGGGCATTCAGGTAAACTAGCTGGATGGAGGGTGGAGGTAACTTTGCCTCCTTCAACCTGCATCCTAGAAATACTCCCAGCCATCAAGTCCTGCCAGTTCTTTCTTTAAAAGCTTTCTCCCTGGGGCCAGCAGGTGGTGTGGTGGTTAAGATGCTGGATTCCCACATGGCTTACCGTGGTTCTGCTCTCAGACCTGTGGCTTACTTTCTCACTTTCCCTTTTTCTCTCTCTGGTGAAATTTGAAAAAAAAAAAAAAACAAAAACCCTTAAAAAAAAAAAAAAAAGCTTTATCCTGTTGGAACCAGAAGATGGTATAATAGTTACATTGCTGGACTTCCACATAGTTGACTAAGGTTCAAGTCCTGGACCTGGCAGCTTAAAACTCACACCGGGTGTATGTGTGTGCGTGTGCCCCAAATCCCGAGAGGAGAATGGAGAGAAAGGATTGCGGTGTGGCCATTGCCCCTGGGGGGAGGAGGGTTGATTTCTCACTTTCTGTCTCTGTCTCTTTGTCGAGCACACATGCCCTATAGCAAAAATCTCTCTCAAAAAAAAAAAAAAGCTTTCTTCTGTTCTCCTACCATCTCAGCTTCATCAGCTGACACTTGGGTTCCTACACGAACCACCTGGACTTTAGTTTCCTCTTCTTAGATCCTCCTGTTGCTCACCATCAATCATTAGCTACTGCAGTTCCTTGAAGCACAGTTCTAGCCCTCCTCACCTCTCTCACTCCGTTCCTGAATACTCTTGTCCATAACTATCATTTGGATGAAAAGCTACAGGCCAATGACATGCGAATTTCCATTTCAAATCTGAGTCTCACCCTTTGATCTCCAAATCTACCTTTCCTGCTGTATTTTCTAAGTTTTCCTCTTGGATTCCTGCAGGTGCCTCAAACTCAACTCTAAAAGGAGTTGATGTACTTCAGTGTTGCCTAGGTCAAGTGGCATTACCATCCATCACTCTTGTCTGGCTAGAAACTGGGAGTCAGCTTTTGACTACTATGTTAACTTTCTCTCTGTATATCCAGTCATAAGTCCTACTGAACCTACTTCTAGATTTCTGTCAAATATATTCACTTCTCTCTACCTCCTTCATACCACCCTGCTCCAACCACTTTGATCCCTCACCATGGCAGTCTCCTGACAGCTCCTTCTGTACCTTAGGCAACCTCTAAACAGCTTTCTGTCTATAGATTAAGAACAATCTGAAAATGCAAATTGAATCACTTCACTTTTCTGCTGAAAAGGCTTCCATAGCATTTTAGGGTTCTTAAGAAAGGGACCAAATTCTAGTATCATGACCAACCAGGGTTGCTGGGCTCTGGCCCCACTCACTCCTCTTTAAGAAGTCTGTCTTATTCTTTAATGTTGTATAAAGTTTAAAAAAAATTTTTTTAACTTTATCCATTTATTTATTTATTTTAACTTGACTAGAAAGGGAGGGAGGGGGAGAGAGAAACTGAGAAAGCAAGCCACCAGGTCCAGGATTCGAACCGCAGTCAGGATTGTGAGAGTCCAGAGCCCTTAACCACCATGTCACCTGCCGGCCCTAAGCAATCTATCTTCCACCACCAGCAACTTCCTTAAATTCCTGCAATTCCTTTCCTCTTTTTACCATCACAAATCCTCATCCTTCAGTTATCATCTTAAACATTACCCTGTCACGTTGGCATCCTGTACATCTATTCTAATTAAGTTCCAAGATCTCAGATCTCTGAATCTACTGAAGTTGAATCTTTCCATCCAACATCACCCCAAAAATCCAGCACAAGCTTCCTGCCCTAATGGGCCATCTAGCAACTGCAGCGGGCTCTTGCGCATCATATGAAGTGTGTATACGGGGAACTAGGTGGGGGTGTGTGTAGGAAACAAGGCTGGCTATGAGCTGATCTTGGTCTCTCAGAAAGTGAGAAATCACCCCCCAGGGGGGATGGCCACACCACAACCCCTTCGCCTCCATTCTCTTCTCAGGATCTTGGGCATGCACACACAAGCATCGGGCATGAGTTTAAGCTACCGGGTCTGGGACTCAGACCACAGTCGACTACATGGGAGTCCAGTGACGTAGCCATTACGCCAACTGCTGGTCCTAAGGATGAGTATTTTTATATCAAATACAAGGGTGCTTCAAAAAGTTCACAGTAAGGGGACCAGCAGTTGGCACGGTGGTTAAGGCACTGGATACTCCCACATGGCTGACCAGGGTTCAAGTCCTGAATCTGGTGGCTTGCTTTCTCACTTCCTCTCTCTCTCACTCTCACCCTCTGTCTCTCTCTGGTCAAATTAAAAAAATAAATGAATGAATAAATAAAATAAGAAATAATTATTTTTAAAAAGGTTCACAGTAAAATTAAAATATGAATTTATTTTGGTGCAAGAATGTTGAAATCCATGTTTAGTTTTTTCATAATACATGCCTTCCATGAACTTTTCCCTTTTTTTTTTTTAAACTTTATTTATTTATTAATTTGACCAGAGAGGGATAGAGTGAGAAAGAGAGAGAGAGTGCTCAAGAGAAAGTGAGAAAGCAAGCCACCAGGTCAGGGACTTGAACCATGGTTGCCCATGTGGGAGTCTAGCACCCTTAATCACCATGCCACCTGCCAGCCCCAACCATGAACTTTTTCAAGACCCTTTGCATTCTATAAAAATGTGTTCTTGGCCCAGGCATGGTGGCACCCACTGCTAAGATGCTTTGTTCTGCAGGTTGAGACCTCATGGGAGGACCAGGTTCAATTCCCAGTCCAACCTAAAGGCCAGGTATATCATGACAGCAGCCCTGTCTAAAACAAAAACATTCTTAAAATGATTTTTAAAATAAATGTCTTTTTTTATTTTACCATAAGGCATGTGCACTCATCAGTAAGCTACAGAAAGAGAGAAAAAGTAAGAGAGCACCTCTCATCGGGGATGACTACACTGCAATCTTTTCTCATCCATTTCTCCTTTCGGGTTTTGGGTATGCTCGCACATGCACCTGGCATGTCTTTCAAGCCACGGGCCTAGGGCTTGAACCACGTGGCCAGCCATGTGGGATCTAGCTGCCTTAACCACCATGCAACAGGCTGGTCCTCTACAAATACATGTTCAGTTGCTCCCTAATACTCCATGATCAGGGTGTTCCATAACTTTTGGGGCATTTACATTATATCTGACTTCTCCCTGTCAGAGATAATGCTATGATGGGGGCTGGCAGGTGGCATGGTGGTTAAGGGCGCTGGACTCCCACATGATTAACTGTGGTTTGAGTCCCAGACCTGGCAGCTTGCTTTCATACTTTCCCTCTCTCTGTTCCCCTTTGGTCAAATTAAGATAGATAAATAAGTAAATAAATAAATGAATCATGAATAAATTAAGTTAAATAAAATAATTCTTTAAAAAAGAGAGAGCGATGATGCTTTGATGAACATTTATAGAATTAGCACTCTTTTGTACTTCCGAATCATTCTTCAGCCTATATTCCTGTCACTGAAATTGCAAAACCAAAGGTTAGGGGTATGGTTGTGGACTGTGATGCCCAATGCCAAACAGTCACATTCTGACTTGAAGCTGTTTCTCACTGCTGCCCCGTGCTGGAATCCTTCCTTTCTTTCAGGCTTTAGCAAAGGACTGTCAGCCTGTGGGCTCAAAGTCCCTAGTTCTCACCAGGACACAGTAGAGACTCGCTTAAAATAGGAAATTAGTCATCAGTTCTGATGGGCTGAGAGAGGCCATACTCACGGTCTTCACTTCAGTGTATGCCTGCAGCCCGTACTCCCCCAGCTCCCGGCCACTGCCCGACATCTTATAGCCGCCAAATGGTGACTGGGCGCCAAACACATCATAGCAGTTGACCCTGTCATTTGAAATGAGATGGAAGAAATCACTCTTGAGGGGTATGTGTTCCACCTCCAGGATCTCCATATTGTCTACAGTTTTACTGAGGGAATCTAGACGGATAGATCCATGATAGTGACCAGCCATGGAGGAGACCAGAGCAAGCCACATTAGCAACCGCCTAAGTCATCTCCATCCTCCAAGATGGGGTCACAGACAGCTGTCAATAACAGTGCACCAGGTGACAACTGCCCATGTGAACTATTCAGTTTAGCTAAGGTATTTTTCACAAATAATAATAATAATAATAAAAAAACCATGAAATTCAATTGAATTTAAAATTCACCATTTTAAGGTGTATAATTTGTGGGTTTTAGCATAGTCACAATGTTGTGTTGTGTCTGGCTTCTTTCACTTAGTACCATGTTGTCAAGGTTCATCTGATAGAGCCTCTATCATGTATCATTCCTTTTTGTGGCTGACTCCTTATTCCATTGTACAGGTAGACCACAGTAGATTTAGCCATTCGTCCATTGATGGAATGGGGGTTGTTTCCACTTATTGGTTATTATGAACAAAGTCACTATGCACATTTGTGTATACATTTTGTGTGGACATGTTTTTATTTCTTGTGGATAGATACCTAAGCACAGAACTTCTGGGTCACCAAATTCTGGGATGATGAGCCCTGGGTTCTAGAAGACCCTGGTTTGGGTGAATCTTTTCTGGAATGTGAAAGGCAACTCAGAAACTTACCACACAGTGCCAGCCTGCAGGGCTTGGGACAGATAATTGGCCTTGTCCAAGTCCTTGGTGAAGACAGCTGCAGCCAGCCCATATTTGGAATTGTTGGCTCTCCCGACAACCTCCTCTATGGTCTTGAACTTCAGGATCTGCATCACTGGCCCAAAGATCTGGGGTGAGAGAGTAGGGTAGGAGGGTGTGACAGTGTGGAAGCACCAGCTGTTCAGCTTCCATAGAGTTTAGCAGATAATTGCAGAAGTGGGGATGAGCCCCCAGGCATATCCTTAGGGTTCCAGAGAGAGACAGCCACCACACTCAGTGAAATTCTAAGGGGAGGGAGCTAACAAAGATTGATGACCTTCTGTGTGTCCCACACTTTACATATAGTATTTACTTCTTTTTAAAAACATTTTATTTATTTTATTATTTAAAAGGTTTTTGCTATAGGGAACATGCAGTCACCAGAGAGACAGAGAGAGAAAGAAACGCACCAGGTCCAGAACTCAAACCATGGTTGGCCATGTGGGAGTCCAGCACCTTAAGCACCATGCCACTTGCTGGCCCCATACTGCAAGGTATGTGTTATTTGCATGTGATACGTAGACTTAGCATCAAAGAATTCGAGTCAGTTGCCTAGCAGTATAAATACAATCTACAGGTAAGTCAGCATAGGTACTAAATACAATATGGTCTCTGTTCCCAAGACATTGAAGGTCATCTTGCACTTTCCGTGCACTATTCTTGGAGTGAGCCATTTCCTCAAGGAACTCTGGTTTCTTTCAGTAGAGTGGTATATAGAAACCAAAACATGGGTGGCAGGTGTGCTTGTTGTTGTTGGGGTTGTCACTGTTCTCAGACTCTCTCAAGGGAAACCACTGCAGGAAACAATTCTAAATGACTATAAAGCAGTCAAAGCTGCAGTGTTACTGAGTGATTGTACATAAGCGGAATGATGAGTGGTGGGAACCCAGAGCAGTCTAAGTGGGTACTAGGGATGATGGTGTCAGGGAAGGTTTTGCAGGCATGACACTCAAGCTGTGATGCAACAAGAACAGAAATTAGCCAAACCAGAGTGGAGTGCAGAGGAGAGAAACAGAGCCACAGGCACAAGCTCACCCTTCATACATATTCTCACTTGATCCCATTCTCCACTAAAAGGAACTTGAAGGAATGGCTGATTCCAGGACTGGAGAATGTAAAAATGGTGGTGGGAGAGTATGGCCAGGGCTCATCCTGGCTGAAGTTAGGACTGTGAGACAGGGCATTGCCTGTTTCAGGTGCCAGCAAAGCAGAGGAAAGCCCCTGCCCTTCCAGAAAATTAGTATTTGAGATTTTAAAAAAATAATAATTATTTAACTTTATTTATCTACTTATTTTTTAATTTGACTGGAGGGAGAGAGAAACAGAGAGATAGAGAAAGTGAGAAAGCAAGACGCCAGGTCCAGGACTTGAACCGTGGTGGGCCATGTGGGAGTCCAGTGTCCCTGCCAGCCCTAGTATTTGAGATTTGTAAGAAAAGAATCAAAGTAGTCACAATGGGGAAAAAGGTAGAACTCTGTTGGACCTTCTTACTCCTGGATTTCCAAATCCAACACTATTTTATTTTGACTCATACGGGAAAAAGGTGGCACCATAATGCTTTCCCTGCATGGCCACTAAAGGACTTATCTGGCAGGGTTGGGGGTGAAGCAGATCTGGTCTCAGGATGTCAAGGAGGGGCAAAAGACATGTCTTAGACATCCCTATATATCCAGGGTCTGCGGACAGCCTGGCACAAATGAATTATGTGGAGCTGTTGGGAGAATTATCAAAGCAATCTTGTCATGGAGGGAGTCAGCCCGTTTATCTAATACAATATCCGCTCATACCAAGACAACAGGAAGAGAATCATGGCTTGCGGGGCCAGAACACAAAGGCCTGCTCCCTCTGCTGCAGAACTGCAACATTCTCCTGGACCCTGGGTAGCTATCACAGGATGAGGAAGAGAGTGGCAGGGGGAGGAGTAAGCTGTAAATAACTTGTTCTAGTCACAGAGCCAATGGATGGATCATAGTGTCCAGATGCTAGACTGAACTGTCCACTGCTCTTCTCCTCTAGGAACAATTCCTAGAGCATCCAGGTGCTAACCTCCTCCTTGGCGATGGTCATGCCATCTTGCACATCTCCAAACACAGTAGGCTGGATGAAGTAACCACGGTCGGCAGCAGGCCCCCCACCACACAGCAGCTTCGCCCCCTCTTGCTTCCCAGATTGGATGTAGCCAAGGATCTTCTTAAACTGAGTTTCATCTACCTGTAAGAGAAGGTGCCCAGAGTTACAAAGATGCTAAATTGAGACCCCTCTTAGACTTTAGGTTAGAACCATGGAGACAATGAGACAACTGGGAAACAGGCAAGGTCAGAAAGGGAAACACACAGAACCAATAAAATACAGGGATGACCCTGTAGCCTAGTGGTTAAGAGAGCCAGATCCCACATGGCTGACTGTGGTTCATATCCCATCCCTGGTGGCTTAAAAAACATACCAGACAGCGGGGGACCAGCAGTTAGTATAATGGCTATGTCACTGGGCTCCCATGTAGTTGACTGCGGTTCGTGTCCTGGACCTGGTGGCTTAAATTCATGCCGGGCGCGTGTGTGTGCATGCCCAAGATCCCACGAGGAGAATGGAGGAGAAGGGAGTGCGGTGTGGCCATCCCCCTTGGGGGGGTGATTTCCTGCTTTCTGTCTCTCTGTCTCTGTCTGTCTGGCAAGCGCACGCGCCCTATAGCAAAAAACTCTCCA